AATGCTGTTTTCAGAGTGCTGGGGGCATTTTTAAACATACCTTTTTTTTTAAGGGTTTTATAGCCCTGGCCTTAAAAAGTATGCTTGGCCTCAACATTTTAACTTTAGGTCTTATGTTCCTGCCATCGCAACTTGACAACGAGCATTTTTTAACTGGAAGTTTCACGCATATAAATTCAATCATCACAAGCAGATCAGATACATATTAGCAAATACAGTACGAAACCTTTTGCTTTTTAGATTTTTTTGAACTGTGTTTCCCTTGATGCTCAGCCAGGGCTAAGAAGATATACCTGGCTACATGCTATGAGTATTTTAAGACAGCAAAAGGTCACAGGAAAATCAGGCAGTTTTGACCTATTGCAATGCATTGGCATGGGGCTTTAGCTCCAACAGCCCCTATAATAATCTAACCATGTGTAGGATTAAATAACTACAACCCCTGCAGTTAACTGTAGCTGATTTGCTGCTTAGGGTGTCCATTCAATAAGTAGGTATTGTTAATTTGCCCTATGTAGCATCATACTTATAAAATTCTGGTGCCTAATTATGGGGGACCCATGGCAAGTTTAATGTGTTAGGGGTCTTATGTGTTTACTGAATGTTGCCGCCTAGTTGCTCTATGTAATACGTGAGCCATGTGATTTATATATAGGCTCCACGGAGGTCCACGTATGATAGGTAAACAGCTGAAAATCAATTAAAAAGCTTACATTTTTCTGAAAATAAATTTTTAAAATCTATACAAAAATATACAGTTGTGGGCGGATAAAACAAAAACCTGTCACACGATGGCAAGCCATTATATACTTACTGAATGCAATGGCCATATGCTGCCAATCACTTACCCCTGTGTGCTCATATGGGTATCAACCAACTCAAAAGCTTGTCTATGATGTCAGTCTAATTAAAAAGGTAGCATTACAAACTGCAATACTTTTGTTTTTCTGGCATCTTGTCTATAAAATGATTCTGTCTCATGTTGTGTATCTTTACTAATAGAACAACAATACATTAAGTGTCACATCAACATTGTATCTAGCCATCATGTGTTCTGATATGCTAATTACGCTTATCCATTACTTATCCTTTTTAGTAGATGGGTATTCAAACCATACTTTGTTTCTGTGATGATTTAACAGGTTTTGTTTCTTGATTTTCATACTGATCCACATTCTTTCCGTAGCACAAATCCCTTAACATAAAACTCACACCATATTAGCTATCACAGAGTATAATACGAGGATCAATTCTGTCCTATCTTGGTTTCAGCAAGATTTGCAATCACAGATTGCACAATGTATTACTTCCCCCTTGACAGCCCTTATCAGCATTTCTGGATGTATATGTTTATGTAAAACAGGGGTTTGAAGTTAGTGAATATAGAGCAGCTTAATACTCTAGAGGTTTTTATTTTTTCATTGGTCAATCATGGGAGCATTGAGACCTGCAAATTGTTCCCCGACAGAAAGGACATTTAATTTATTTTATTTTCTCTTATGTGCTGCTTTTTGCTTTTTTTTTTTTTTTGAGCAAAGCAACAGGGAACAAAAAGGACGGCAGGGTGTCCAAATTTCTTAATCAAACTAATAGTATTAATCTGCATATATAATTTAAATATGAGCAGCGCTTACATTTATCAAGGGTTTTTAATCATTTAAATTTTTAAATTACTAGTTAAAGTATTTATGCACGTGCATAAATTCAACTATTACATTTAAAAAAATATATATAAAGTCACTATATATGATACATGACGGTAAACTTTAAATTATGGGAATCTAATGCCTTTGAGGGATTCTGGGGCCAGTACTAATCACCAGGAGACTGAAAGTCAAGGGAAATATGATCATCTTTATATCCTTCAGATTACAGTACTTTCTCCTCACAAATGCTCCTTTGTTAGGCATATTTTACGCTAGGATTTTTTTAGTGTCATGGATGGTGTTAGGGTTAGATTTGATAATTAGAGTTATACCTATGGTTGGTGTTGTTGTCCCAGTTTGTGTTAATGTAAAGGTCGAGTTACTGTTAAAGGACCACTATAGTGCCAGGAAAACATACTCATTTTCCTGGCACTATAGTGCCCTGAGGCTGCCCCACCCTCAGGGTCCCCCTCCTGCCGGGCTGGATGGAGAGGAAAGGGGTTAAACTTACCTTTTTTCCAGTGCCGGGCGAGGAGCTCTCCTCCTCCTCTCCGCCTCCGATCCTCCTCTTCGGCTGAATGCGCATGCGCGGCAGGAGCAGCGCGCGCATTCAGCCGGTCTCATAGAAAAGCTTTTACAATGCTTTCCTATGAACGCTGGTGTCTTCTCACTGTGATTTTCACAGTGAGAAGCACGCAAACGCCTCTAGCGGCTTTCAATGAGACAGCCACTAGAGGCTTTAGAGGCTGGATTAACCCATTTATAAACATAGCAGTTTCTCTGAAACTGCTATGTTTATAAAAAAATGGGTTAATCCTAGAGGGACCTGGCACCCAGACCACTTCATTAAACTGAAGTGGTCTGGGTGCCTAGATTGGTCCTTTAATGTGAAAGTTAACAATCCTTTAATTTCAAGTCAAATCTGGGCATGTACATGTCTGGTCTGCCAAAGATTATTGGTACATGAATACATAAATTCAGCCGTCATCATTGAACTGTCTGTCCCCAGAAAGTATAGTTCCTACTAATCTGAGAAAGACGAGGGCATATGCCCCAACAGATCACAAGAGCCACTCATTTAAATATTATATATTTTTTGGATATGTACACTGATTAGCCATAACATTAAAATCACCTGCCCAATATCATGTAGGTTACCATCCTGCTGCCAAAACAGCTTTCGTATGTCAAAGCATGGACTCCACAAGACCTTTCGAAGAGCCCTGTAGTATCTGGCACCAAGACATTAGCAGCATATCCTTTAAGTCCTGCAAGTTGTTAGATGGGGCCTCCATGGATCAAATTTGTTGTTCCAAAAAATCCCAGAGATGCTTAGTTGAATTGAGATGGGAAATATGGAGTCCAAGGCAACACCTTGAACTCTTTGTCATAATCCTCAAACCATTCCTGAACAATTTTTGCAGTGTGGCAGGTGCATTATCCTGCCATCAGGGAACACAATTGCCATGAAGAGGTGTATGTGGTCTGCAACAATATCTATGTAGGTGCCAGTGGCGTACACACAAACCATGGGGCCCCGGTGCGAAAATGATCCATTCTCCCCCGACAGACACACACACACACATACATCGAGACACACACACAGACACATACACACAGACACATACATACAAACAGACAGGCACACATATATACATACAGACAGACACACACAGACACATACATACAGACCGAAAACACAGACAGGCACAGAGACACATACATACAAACAGACAGGCACACATACAGGCAAACAGACACATACAGACACACACACACATATACAGACAGGCACACATACAGACACACTCACACATACAGACAGACACACACACAAGACACATACATACAAAGACACATACATAAAAAAACAGACAGGCACACAGGCAGACACATACAGACAGACAGATAGACACTCACAGACATACACACATACAGACACACACACAAGCCGCACATACATACAAACAGACAAGCACACACACATACAGGCAGACACACACACAGGCAGACAGACAGACAGACAGACACACATACATACACAGACAGGAACACACACACACACATACATACAAAGACATACATACAAACAGGCAGACACACACATACAGACAGGCACACACATACATACAAACACACACAAAATGTATAATTCACCATCCTGTTTCCTACCTTTAAGGTGCAGGAGGGTGACTTTCCCTGGGGTCCAGTGGTGGCTTTGGTGGATGGGAGTCAGAGTTCCCACTCTGACTCCCCCTGCTTGCTCCCGTGCGGCTCTCAGTGTTAGCTGGGAGGAGTGACGTGCAGTCACTTCGTCACAGCTTGTGATGTCATCACAGGGGGCCCAGTCGCGCTGTTAAAGCGCCTAGCACTTACCGGGCCCCCTGACAATCAATATCCATCGGGTGGCCCTGACAGCATGGGCCACCCAATGGACCCCTTGGACGGCGGCGCCGGCAGTTTGCCGCATGGCCCGGGGTCGCAGAAGATGATGGCGGCAGATACCCGGTCACAGGGGTCCACTCCAGGGTGGCCGGGCCCCCTGGAGTGGCGGGCCTGTTCGCAGCTGTGACCCCTGCGACCGCTGTATGTACGCCGCTGGTAGGTGGTATGTGTCAAAGTAACATGAATGCCAGAACATTCAAAGCAGAACATTGCAAGGGGCATAACATTGCCTCCACTGGCCTGCCTTCTTCCCATAGTGCATTCTGCTGCATTCTCTTCCCCACGAAAATGAAGTACACGCACCTGGCCATTGATCTGCTCTAAAAAAAAACATGATTCATTACCAGTTACCCTTTTTCCATTGCTCCATGATTCATTTCTGTCACTCACATCCCCATTGAAGGTGCTTTCATTGGTGGACAGGAGTCAACATAGGCACTCTGAAAGGTCTGTGACTACACAGCAAACTGTTGTGCTCTGTGTTTTCTCTGATACTCTTCTATCATGGCCAGCAATCCATTTTTCAGAAATTTAAGCTACGGTAGCTATTCTGTGTGATTGCACCAGATGGGCAAGCCTTTGATCCCCATGTGCAGTTATCTGTCCTTGCAGCACTTTTGGTAGGTGCTAACCAACTGAATACCAAGAACACCACACAAGACTTGCCGCATTGGAGATGTTCTGACCCAGACATCTAGCCATCACTATTTGGCTCTTGTCAAAGTCACTCAGATCTTTTCGCTTGCCCATTTTGTCTGCTTCCTGCACATCAAATTCAAGCACTGCCTGTTCAAGTTGCTGTTTAGTAGATAAGTGAGTGCACTGGATCTTGTGTATTATATAAATTGCCCTCCAGCAGCACCCCATTTATGCATGTTCAGGTGAGTGCAGCCCCATGGTTTTGATGCATTATTGCTACCTTTTTATAGTGTGTGTGTGTGTCCAATAATATGTATATATATATATATATATATATATATATATATCCACACACACACACACACACACATACTATAAAAAGGTAGCATTAATGCATCAAATCCATGGTGCTCAGAGCGTTCCTTTAAGGAAAAGTTGTATTTAATTTTAATTAGCATTATACTACTAAGTGAATCTCACTTGGTATAAATATATCAACATTTGCTTTTTGACCAACAGAAATATAGTCGGATGGGACAATTAATTTTTTGCTTTTTAATTTCACTTATTTAGTAACAGTAGGTTTTTTTTTAAGTTCATATTTTCATAAGCGAGAACATTAAAAGTTGGAATAATGCATTAGTAATCAAAGCTCTAAAATATATCTAGAATATGAGAATGGAATGTGTGCCATTAAAGGATTTTCACAAGAGAAAATGTAGATTTTACTGTTCTCCTGCAGTACTAAAACGGTGTTAACTAAGCAGAATGCATATGAAGAATAAGGATTACAGCATAGATCATTACAAAACATTTTCTGGTGTGTTGGGACCATGACACTGCCAACCTGTGTGTTATTTAATTATCTTTAACACTCTAATATTTAGAGTGTATCAAAGCTTGTTCTTTGCAGGAAAAATGTGTATTGTAATGTGAATTCAAGTGATGTGATAAGGAACAAATATAGATAAACATACACAGTAAAAAGACAATATTTAAATTTTAACATAATACAGAAAAAAAGAAAAATGTTAAAAAAAAAAGGGTTAAACCATTAGGATCAGTACTGGACTTTGTGAGTTCTCTGTAAGGAACAAATGGAGTAAAAACTAAGTGGCCCTCAACATCAAATCCATTGTCCTTTTCAAATTTCTTATTCTTATATACAAATCCTTCCAAAATATTTTGATTTTCTTCTTTACCTCTTCTTCACCTTTCCTGATTCTCCTCCCAGGTTATCAAGCATGTTCATGGCTAAATAATTGCCGGCCCTTGAAATGCATTGTCCGGTTGAAAAATAGTTTGACAATGGTTGTGCACTAAACTACAAATTATAGCGAATCATAATCTGAATGGCATCATATATTCCAAAATAGCCAATGTATTAACACTGGTGACATCACATCAATCTACTGAAGTTGGTTCTATCCTATCTGTAGCAACACCCAATGCGTGAAAAATGTGTTTTAGTGAGCTTGTACACAATCCCTTCCTTGATAATCTAGAGTGATCTAGGGTTTCCCCAGTGATATATGTCCCTACCCTGAAATACACTGGATGGAGTGACTGTCTATAAGGTGGCTGATGACAAGTCATCATAGGTGAACAAGGAAAACATTTCAAACACATATGTGCCCCCACTGCTGAAAGAACTACCTTTTTGTGGTGAGTAACAATTTGAACAATAGGATCCTTAGGTGTTGAATTTGGAGACCTGACTTTTGGGTACTGTGGAATGTGGCTTAGGTCTGTAACGTGTGCTTGAGTGGAAGCATGCAAGGCTTGTTGTGTTTATAGACCCCTCCTCTGTGATCTTGACGGTTCATGTGTTGGGTGTGAGCATGAGACTATTCTTGTGCTGAAATGTTGCCTTCTATTGTCCAATAAATGTTGTCCATGCAAAGTTGTATGTATGAATTTGTTGTATCTTTGAGTGAAGTCAGCTGTGGCCTGGAAGTCATGTTGATCCAGCACTAAGATTGATGCAAGGGAACCTGTCTTTAGGGCCTTGGGTCAATCCAGCTTGATAGCCAATAATGAAGCAAGTATGGCGTCATTATGGTTGTAACGGATCACCTGGCACCCCAACTGGGTACCTCCGTTGAAAGATGCTCCTAGCGCTTCTTGAGAATTCCAAGCACTCTAGCCGACACCACAACCACCGCAGGCTGAACCTCTTTTCATTCAGAGCGAAGCAGGAACGAGCTCTTAAAATAGCTTAGGAGTGGTTATAGCAAGGGAATATGCAGAGCATAGCAATCCCTTGTAGCAGATTCCCCCAATAAGAGACAGGGCTCCAAATTGAGGATAAAGTAGAACTGACTGTACTGGCACATACAGCCTCTTTTACTCACAATTCACAAACATAGTACTGCCCACAGGGTTTTGAAATACAACCAATCAATCCGTACAATACACACAGACAATCCCACACAAAATCCTCCCCTCTGCCTGTGATATGATTACTGAACACAATGGTTAATATAATTATCACAGGCAGAGAAATACAGTATTATAAAACATATCACAGGGACCCCAAAACATGCAATAACACCCACAGTATGTCCCCAGATGGTTCTTAAAGGGCCAGCAGCAGCATAATAAAATACAATATGCCCAAATCAGTTCCTAGAAGGGCAACACATCCCAGGGCCATAGTCGCAGGGCAGGAGGCTGGCAAACAGGCCCCTCCAAAAACCAGTGGCGAGGTCAATGGTGTTGCAGGCCGATGACCTTCTGGTGTTGCTCTGGTGATGTCAGATACTAGGGCTATCTATTAAAACTCAGGAGTCTTGTGCCCTGTCATGGTCACATGACCCCAAGTGTAGATGTATACTGTGAATGCTTATTCTGAAATTTATCCTAGGCTTGTTTATTTGACTATTTGACAATTTTGTTCCTGACCTTGGCTTCTCTCACCATTGTGTTGTTTTTCCGTGATCTCAGCTTTTTTATTCCTGTTAAAATTTATAACATTAAGCCAGATAACCTATAAGGACCAGTAATATGCATGGAATCACTACTGACCTAGATTTCTGTGTTGGGACCCATACCAAATCCTGAAACATTACTTTTAATGTATTTACAAACTGAAATGACTATTAAAGAAGTATTTTATCTGTATGAACCTTAACAAAATTCCTGCCCTTTTGTTTCCTATGGGATGATGTCTACTTCACCTCAAAGTGGACCTATGTTTTTGTCTGCATTGTCTATATTCTTTTTTCTTGTAATTTTTTCTACTTTCTTCACTTCTGTTATCATAGCAGACATTGTGACATTTGGAATTTAGAATAATGTTTTGTTCCCAGTTATCTCTCTCCTAAAACCTTTTAGCAAAATACTCCGGGTCTTTTTTTGCACAGTTTCACATGATGCATTGTATAGACTTGTATGAATTCAATGTACTATAACATCCTTGGCATTTGGCACATCCTGAGATATTTAGCCCAGATACTGAAAAATTGATCAGGCTGAGGCTGATGAGAGGGATTACATATGTGGAAGTGTAATAAAAATTAAACAAATTATAATTCTTTGTAGAATCACTGGTTCTATTGATATGTAATGTTTCTTTACAAATCTTTTAACAGTTCAATATATGCATAAATAAATAAATGCTTTTATATGGGGAGTTGTACACATCCCTAAAATAGTGAAGTCCAGTCTGAAAATCTTATGCACGCTGTTCATATGTTTTTTAAAAACATATTTTTATGTTTTGAATGAGATCTTAAAGGCAAGTTCCCTAAGTTGAATCAGTGACATATTAGCCATACCTAGGCCTTTAGGTATTTAGAATTATCCACAGCTTATCACACTATCACATTAAATCTTCCTATTCTTTATTTACAAGTTGCATCCATATATGTATTTAATAAGCATTTCAAATTCATTTCTACATTGATGTGTTTATGTCTCTGTGTATGCACTGAGATATACCCTCCATACAATGCAATATTGTACACAGATTTGAATAACAAATGTATTCCCATAAGTGGTAGAAACATTGAAACTTCAGTTCTCTTACTAATATGTCACAATAAGGTAGATTTAATTTGGCATCATAGTCTCTTTAGTCTGCTGTGATTCAAAGAAAATAAAGACATTGACCCTAATATGTACTGCATATATATAACTTGTGACAGAAGGCAAACCATCTTAAATCCCTTCCAAAGTACTTTATGTCTCATTGATTTGTTTCTGGCACAAACATGCTGGATTTGTAGTGATCTAACTAGGTTCCGTTGCTTTTATGGCAATCAGTCTTACTTATTAAAAAGGAAAGCCATGAATAATGTACTTGTAATATATCTTGCAGTGAAGTTGGGCCAAATTGATAAGCACCATGCAGCTAATTAAGAGTAGATTAGATAAAGATGTACTAGGCTAATTTCCTCATTTGTTGGAGGAAAATATGAATTTTATTCCATTCTCAGAGGTCAAGTCCCTTCTATCCTTGGTTCTCTGAGAATCCTACCTGCTTGTTTTCTGGCCCAGTTGACTTTGATTATCCTGCCTTTTGGTGTGTTGTAAGTTCAAACCCTGCAGTTATTTCTGGGTTTTATTCATACTACTCTACTATCCATAGCTTGGAGTTCCTAGCTAACCTTTCATGTGAAAACAGTGTGGGCTACAGCTACACATCATTATGTTTATCATGGACTAAATGCAACATCTTTTGGAAGATACTATTGAATGTTGTGTATGAAAATTAAGTATATGAAAATAAAATAAAAAAAAAAAACTCATCTACATTGGCTTTAATTCATGTCAAGTCTCCCTTCAATTTTGTTTTTTCATAGGACTATATATCCAAAAGAGTTAAAGTTTATCCACTTTCTTGAGTTCAACTAACATAATAACTGCAATTTATTAAAATATAATATTGAACCGTGAATTTATTTTGCAAAAAAAGACAAATTACAATCTTGACTAACTTGTCAAAAAAACAAATGCTTTCTTCCAAACATATTTTAAAAAAGCTATTCATTAAAATATATTGCTTTAAAAAAAAAAAAAAATAACTATTCTATCTTCTTTTCTCTATTGCCAATTAGGATACCTTACCAGCCAATATTACACAACAGGAGTTCGAAATTGGTTGAACATTGCAAAGTAAGACGGCACCCAGAATCTTTATTAAGTTAAAATTGTAATGAGTGTCGATTTAAATAATTTATAAAAAGAACGAAAAAAAACCATTAATTTTTAAAAAGGAACGTTCTTTGATTTGTTACAAATTAACAAAAAAATTGTTTATGACAAAATAAAATCTTAAGCAAACTCTGGTTATACTTGGCATCTGTGTTTACAATTATCTCAGGAAAAATCTTACTTTAATTAAAACACTGGAAATGTGAAAGACATCCGTATTCCTGCTGTTCTAACA